ATGGTATGATAATTTAATGAATTATCCAAACAATTTCACCAAGAGCAATGGTACATTCAGGATAGCTAATACAATCCCTGAAATGTGCAACTGGGTCACATCACCACGGCAATGTCCCACTGAAGTGTACAGCACATATAATATGAAGATTGGCCCAGACTAATATTGTAGAGTATCTCACTCCAAATTTTGATAGAAAGGCTAGAACCAAATCTGAACTTTGCATACTGTCTCATTTATTCACAAACATTTGTTTACTTCAGGACTTCATTCCTTATGACTTCTGTTGCCATTGACTTGATTTTCTCATGGCCTTTTCTGAGGCTTCGTGTTTGTTCCCACCAGGTCACCAGCTCCCTTCCGACAGCTTTCTGCTGGGGGCAGCCCCTTGCTTCCGCACTCCCTCCCTTGATGCTGCAGGATTCCTACCAACCTAACACAGACATCAGACAGGCACGTGCAGCTCAGCCCTGCCACAGAAGTGTCCTCACCACAGACCCAAAGCCCTGGCAAACCTCAGCAAGTGGCCAGAGTCCCAGCTCATTGTCACTAGGCCAGTACAGCCCGGTCCCAGAAGCTGCGGCCACCAGAGGAGTTGACTCCAGCTCCCAGTACAGTAGCAGATAAGGTTCTGCTGAGTGACCGAAGATAACTTATGTTTCCAAATATCTGATGTTAATCACCTTTTTAAAAGGTAAAGATAAAAAGTGTTATGAAAGTGCAAAATGTCCTTAATAGTTTTATAGAAATGTCAAGAGACGTGTCAATTCTGCTACTGTTTATAATTATTTTATAATACATAGACAAATGCATAGGGCATCAATGCATATTTTTGTCTTGTTCTGCATCATTCCATCAGCAATGGAAACCTTTGGGGCAAGGGGAAGCACAACAAGGGAGACTGCAAATAAGACTTTCCTTGTGTTGTAAAGCAGACAGACTGCTATGTCAGTTATGTTCTACAGTCAGTTCTGATTTGTACCATTGTGACTACTGTGTAAAATTTTAAGATTCCCTTCAGAGGCACTGGGAAATGGAGAAATTTGCAGGTATCTGCTATCTGTCACAGTTTTTTACAAATGACAGTGACCTGCATGATGGAACCAAGATTGGTATTGTCTTCTTCATATACAAAATGCTTTGTTTTCTCCACTATGAGCCCTTCCTTTGTCTCGACGAAAGTCATTCTTTTCTCAATACTACATTCTCCTATAATATGTGTTCTCATCTGGAGCATTATGAACCTCCCTAACCCTTTAGTATTGGGGATGACAGCATTTCCCCCTTCATATAGTCATTGTTTCATTCCAAAAGTAGATGGAAAAGCCTCAGAACAGAAATTGTGTGAGTTCCAGTTCTTGCTATGTTGAAAACAATACACTAGAAAGGAACTATAGGAAGAAACAGTTCTGCACTACATGGAGACAGACTAGATGAACTGACCTGATGACTGGATGACCATCCCGCTCTAATTTCTAGTAGTTTATTATTTACTCTACACATTCTCAGGCTGAAAGGAAGGACAGAAGACCCCAAACAAAATAACTTTAATGCAGATCTACTGCATAATAAAAAACACCCTGTGTTGCTCACAGCAGCCACTGACTTCTTTATCCCAAGCACGCTACTATTCATGCAAAATTTTACTTCTCTGTAGAATTTTTTAAACCCTTAGACATATAAAGCAACAGCTTTGAAAAGACAGAATTACAGTCAATTTACTAGGTTACGTCAATATCTATTTTCCCCCCTTATCCCTCATATAAGAGCAATTACGGCAGTCTGGTATTGCCCTGCCAGTATAGTTTCTCTTCTACTTTTTTCTTTTTCCACTGGCAGAAAAGCAGCATCTTAAAAGTCTTCCTGAAAGTTTTGTTACAAAGGGCATAACACATAGGGTTGACAGTGCTGTTCACGTAGCATAGCCAATATCCAAGGTGCCACAGTGTCAGGGGAATGCAGTCAGAGCAGAATGTGGAGATCAAAACCATGATATTGTAGGGAGTCCATGTGATGATAAAAGCCAAAAGAATGGCACTTAAAGTCTGTGCCGCTTTGCGCTCCTTTATAAGAACCATCCGTTTCCTTTTGGTGATTTGGTTATTTATATTTGGATCCATGCTTTTGATGGAAGGATCCTTTGACAGAGCAGCAGAACAAGGAGTTATTTTTACTTTACGGCAACCATTGTTGGCTTCCTGGGTGCCATCAGCCTTCACCACCAATTGGAATTTATAGGCCATGCATTTTTTACTTTTTTGTACGTGGCCTTTGGCAGGCGACAAAAAGTATTTCTCATTCTCAAAATCATTTTCTTCAGGTTGATCTTTGACAACAACATCCATGCTCTCATTAAATTCTTCTGCCTTACCTTTAGATGGACTTTTGTAAGTTACTTGGAAAACTGGATCAGCAGCAAGTTTATCCTCCTCTTCTGAAGAAGCGTAGCTGCTGCAGGTGGTTAACTGGTCAGCCTTAGCCCAGTCATTACAAGTACTCACTGTCTGAGAGGCTTTCACTGTAGCTGAGGTACTTCGACTAGATGAAGACCAGGAAGCCTGACATCTCTCTCTTTTGGCTAAATTTTGTTGCTTGCAACTGAAGCAAGACTTCAGGAGAGCATTCTGAGGCTTTATCATCTCAAACTCTGCCACAGACTCTGAACCCTGAAGTTCAGCAAGGTCCTTGGTACGTTTCTCCGTCTCTTTATAGATGCGGCAATACAGAATGGTCATCACAGACACTGGAATGTAAAAAGCAGCAATTGCAGTACCAAAGGTGATAATGGGCTCATATAAAAACTGTATCTGGCACTCCTCAGGTGGTACCGTTCGTTCACCCACAAAATACTGCCAGCACAAAATTACGGGTGCCCACAACACGAAGGAAATAAGCCAAGCCAGACCAATCATGATGCCAGCTCTTCTGGGCGTGCGTTTGGCTCTGTAAGTTAAAGGCCTTGTGATGGAAAAATATCTGTCGAAACTGATGACTAGGAGGTTCATTACTGAGGCGTTGCTGGCTACATAGTCCAGTGCCAGCCACAGGTCACAGGCAAGGCTTCCAAGAGACCAATGGCCTATGAGTATATAGGACGTATAAAGGTTCATAGAAAATACTCCAATGATGAGATCTGCACAGGCAAGGCTGAGCAAGTAATAATTGTTGACAGTTTTGAGCTGACTGTTCACCTTGAAGGATATCATTACAAGAATATTTCCCACAATGGTTATTAAGCTTACAATAGCAGTTACAGTGGCAATAGTAATGACTTCCCAGAGGCTATGCCCTTCTAACTGCTTATGGTTGATGGATGAACTGTTTACAACAGTAGAATTGCTGAATAAATTTCCTTCCATTCTTGTTCTAGGTGTATTGTCATCAGGATCTTAGCACTGTTGCATCTTGCCTTCTGTACTCAAAAATATTCTTTTGGACAGCTGTAAAGGTCAAAGAGAAAAACAGAAAAAGAAAGCACTTCCATTAGATTTACCACAAAACACTTGTAAAACAATCTATCAAATTATTTGTGCTCTCATTTTGCATTTTGATTATTGTTTCTACCATTGTGAACATAACTAGAAGACACAAATGTACATTCTAGGACAACATGCTCTGGCATCTTACAATATTTCTAAATGCAATCAGGACAACTATTACTGCTTAAGACAGTCAGTTATGCCAGCACTTATATTTTGAATACCTTAGGAGACACTTTAGATATTCTTAAAGACAGACATTTAAAGTTTTGCAGTGCAATAAGACAATAAGTCACCGTGGTGTTTCTTACAGTACTATGTAGAAGCCTTGTCAAGATTTCAGAAATTATCTTTGGAAAATTTTGGAGAAGTCACCAACAGCAGAAAGCGAGTAAGAGGAAACTGAGGATGCATGGGGAGTTAGGAACCACACTGGTATGGTGGCAGTGGGAAACAATTAGGTGTTAGAAGTACTCAGAGCAAGTGAGGGAGAATCTTTGGGTTAAGAAAGCGTGCAAGGACAAGAAGATGTTTTTTTAAAAGTAAGTTAGACTTTTCTCTGTTGAGAGATCTCACGACAGAGGAGACGATTGAGTGAGGTTTGGAAGCGCAGTTTGGGTACTTTGTGTGAGTGAACGGTTGGGTTGAGGATGCAAAGGAGTAGATGAAGAGGAAACAGCAATGGATGACCACGGTGATAAATAACCAAAGCCATTTAATAGTTGCATAAACAGTGAAGGTGGAAATGGCACCACTGTAACTTTATTCACGCCTACGTACCTCTGATGTCCACCTATTCCTGCATTCTTCACTGCTATTTTCTTGTCCCAGAGAATGCATGCCTGAATTAGGCAATTTTGTCCTTTCATAGGTATCTGCTGGTTTTTGAGACATTCTATGACATCAGATGATGGTAATCACTTGTGTGATGCCTAAACTTGCTAGACTGTAATTTTGGTACAGTCAAATAGTAGTTATTATTTAAAGTCAGAAATTAAAGACAAATTATTAATAGTTTATTTATTGGGCATCTAGCCAGTATAAAACCAGTAAGACAATCCTTTTATTCAAAGCAGACATAGGTTCAGCTAAAATTATCACATAAATCACCTGTTAAAGTCCAACTCTATGTCTTTAGGATTCTCTCTGCATCAGATCTCTATTATATGTTCCTCCCTATCTGTCCACACAACTTCTTTGTGTTTCCATCTTTCATCCTAACTCTTAGAACATTATTTTCTTTGGTCTTGGCAAGTGTCTTTTATTAACTGCAAGCTTTCACAGACTATCTCTTTCCCACATGTCATCCTCTACCTTTTGTACTAAGTAGTTGGGTCCTGTCTCTCATCATCTAAATACATCAATATTTTATATACAGTTGCTGAATTTTCAGAAAAGCATCTTATTTTCTTTCATTGTTCTCTTATTTGCTGTCATTGTTCCCTTCACTTTTGTCCCAGGTTTCCTAAATACCCACAGAAGTGTATCATCTTTCTTCTTCAAACCCTCCCTAAAGATTATCTCTTGTTGTGATGACATTCAGTAATAGTAAGTTTCATGGTGTACTGAAATGACTATTGTACATACAGTTCTCCATCATCTATGTGTGTCTGTCATCTCCTGTCTTTTATTTACATGTTTGTGCATCTTCATTCAGTTTATACACAATGTATACGGAACCTAACTTAACAGGTTCTGGTTCCTGTATAGGTCTTTCAGCCCAGTAATAATAATATATGCATGTTGACCATTTATATGCTTTGTATGTTCCTCCACAGCTTCCAGAGCCAGTCTAGCAGCCAAGAAGAGCTAAAGTGCCCCAGCAGTCCTAATGAGCCCCATGCAAGGAAAGAAATTTCATCCTGGTTCCACATTCTGCAAAGACTTCACCCAAGTCAGAGCTGTCCTGACAGCCGGATGTGCCGGCTTTACAAATCTTTATATAACCTTGAAGCGTAGGAATTCATTTAATGTGAAACAAAGGTGTGTGAAGGAGCTGCATGGCTGTGATAGGTAGCTGAGCTGTGAGAGATGAATCTGTCTCTGCAACCTCACATAGCAGAGATAAGAAGCTTATACTTCTTTCTCTGTAGACAGCACAGTTGTTCTGCATTTCAGCAGCTCCGTAGGATTAAATTATTAAGTGTGGCAGTGTGGTAATGGGTTAAGTGTAGCAATGTGAGGGCCGGCTGCCTTGCAAGGGAAGGCGAGCCAGGAGTGGAGCATGATAGGGAGCAGATGGGAGCAGAAACCTCGCGAAGAAGAAGCAGGATATGGAGCAGCACGTTTGGTTCAAGATCAGTGCCAGAGACACTGATCAGGGTCAGATATACTTCAATGATGGCACAAAAAGTCTGTAGTGAGGAAGCAGGTTCCAAGACCAAGCCGGGAAGACCAGCCAGCAGGTCCAGGTCAGGATCAAGGAGGTAGGAAATGAGGTGTAGATGTAGCTGCTGCTCAGCTGTGATATAGCACGGGCAAGGGCCAGTGGTACAGCCTCATCTTAAAAGCAGTTCCCAAAAAAAAAGGAGAGAGAGGCCCTCACCTCTAGTTTTCTTCACAACAGGTCTTAGAGCAGAGCAGCAGACCTTGGACTCAGCCAGCTAAATTCTACCATAGCCAGTGGTGCTCCTCGAAGAGCGCTGTGCTCTGGGCCTTGACCACTAACAAACCTGAAACACTGCCAGGGCTTGTGACTTTTTTGCAAGTTGCAAGACTTCAGCAAAGGCTACAGATAGTCTTAAGAAGGCACCAGCTATGAATGTCAGGCACATGGATAAGCCTCTGCTAACTTCTACATTTGCCTAACACCTGGGGTTGAGCAAATGCTTAGGATGATTATAGGATATTGTTTGAACTTTCTGTCTTTTCTTGTCAGAAGATAACACTTGGAAGAAAAATTGCTTTGATGCCGTGGCCTGTAATGGTTTGTGTTTTGCCATAGGTAGGAAGTGTAACCCCTCTTAGATCACTTACCCTCACTAACGCTAGGATTTAGGAGGAAGGACAGCTGAAGCTACCCAGTGTGAATTGCAGACTTGAGAGCAACAGCAGAAGCAGAAATTGTTGTTCTGACACAATTTTTCTTGGTTTGAATTGACATGGGTGGGAGGAATAGTGTTACCCATGGGTAATACAGGATAGAAACTATAATTAATTTCTAAATAAAAAGCACTCTCTTTATCATCACGCAAAGCCTTCCCTCCCTAACGGGCTGTTTTACTGTGATGCCTATAAAAATTGACAGTAGCTAAGCTGCTAGTATGCAAAGATCTCTTCTTGGCATGTTGACCATTCTCATCATCTCTTCATACTCCATCATCTTTTGTCTCACAGGTCTCTGTTAATACTTCGCGGTGTTACCTTTTGTTCGCTATTTGTGTATCACTCAAGACAATAGTGCCTGTGAATGGAACTTCTGTGTGCTATGGTAACATAATTGATGTTATTCATCAATTATAAGGGATGATAATAACAGGGAGATCAACATTAAATTACAAAATACAAAATGCACATGTACAGTATCATGACTTTGCTATCTGTGTCATAATTATTGATGTATGAACTTCACGCTTTTGAGTTGTAATGATATTTTCTATTTGTTGCCAAATATTAGTTATATTTTTTCAATCTAACTGTAAGTATTAATTAATGTGAGTTGTTAAATTTGTACATACAGTCAGCTTACAGTTATCTGGAGGCAGACTGTTCGTGTCACAGACTGATTGCACCACAGATGCAGTCACAGCTTGGGTTTGCCAGGCTTTATTAGCTCTAGTTCAGCACTGGGCCTGCCAGACCTGTGCTGGCTGCACAATTGTTTAGATGTCTTTGCAACAGGCTTGGCAGTGCTGCTCCCCGTAGCTTGATTTATTTGTTTGTGTCGCAGTGGAGTCATGCTGAGCTCATTTATTGATATGCTGCATGCTACACCCCAGAACTAAGCACGCCTTACTACAGGTAGTAGTGCAGGGTCACTAATAGTCCAGAATTTCACAGTAAGGGAGGTTTCGTAAAATTTTGCTCTAAGGATTACTGGATTTAAAAACTGTTCAAAACCAGACTGATGTTTTAACGTGTGTTGTCAAATGACAGCCTGCGTGCTCAAGAGCGATCAGGCAAGCCTGCAGTTAGAGAACTGGTGAACTTTCCTGAGGACAGCAAGGGTGCCCACCTAGTTCAGACAGAGCAGGACAAACCAGCCTAACTCTGTGGAACAAAGCTGTTCCCATGCCCCAGCTCTGTGTCCCCAGAGCAAAACGCTCAAGAGGCTGCACAGTCACCTCATGCACTTCACACAGGGTAGGCTGGTGTAACACCCTGTCAGGCAGGGCTCAGCTCCTTTTTCCCCTGTTCTGCTACAGAAATCTGCCTGGGGGTCCTGCGCTTGGGTCACAACAGCCTCAAGCAATGCTACAGGCTTGGAGAGGAGTGACTGGAAAGCTGCGTGGCAGAAAAGGCGTGATCGACACCCAGCTGAACATGAGCCAGCAGCATGCCCAGGTGGCCAAGAAAGCCAAGGGCATCCTGGCCTGTATCAGGAATACCGTGGCCAGTAGGACCAGGGAAGCAGTCCTACCCCTGTCCTCAGCACTGGTGAGGCTGGACCTTGGATCCCCTTTCAGTTTTGGGCCCCTTATAACAAGACATTGAGGTGCAGGGGTGTGTCCAAAGAAGGGTAAGGAAGCTGGTGAAGGGTCTGGCACACGAGTCTTATGAGGAGCAGCTGAGGGAGCTGGGGTTGTTCAGCCTGCGGAAAAAGAGGCTGAGGGGAGACCTTATCGCTCCCTGCAACTGCCAGACAGGAGGCTGTAGTGAGGCGGGTGTTGGTCTCTTCTCCCAAGTAACAAATAGGACAAGAGGAAACAGCCTCAGGTTGC